GGAAGACAAAAGAGCAAACTTTCAACTCGAGGAGGAGGAGGAGGAGGATTCCACCGGAGGAGCCGGAGTGCCTCGGACCATAACTTTCTCAACACCTGGACACCGAGTATCCCGCGCTCTAGCTCCGACGCCACACTCATCAAGTTTGTGGATTTGCCGTGTCCAAGCCACGACGCGATCTCCCCGACCATCTCGGCTTGTCTCTCGGACAACACGACGATGGCTTCTCCCGGAAACTCGGAGAACTACGTCCGGATCGTGAGCAAGCAAATGGTGGGAGTGTATGTCAGCATCTGGATCCGCAAGAACCTTCGCAGGCACGTCCACGGACTCAAAGTTTGCTGCGTTGGCTGTGGACTCATGGGATACTGTGGAAACAAAGTAAGCGTTTCCAAGTTCTTCTTTTTTTGTTCCTGATCATCTTTTGGATTTTTTGTTCTTGATCTTGCGGGTATTTTCTTCTCTTCTCAGGGCTCCGTTGCTGTCAGTATGTTGCTCCACCAGACGAGCTTTTGCTTCGTTTGCACGCATTTGACGTCGGGTGACAGGGAAGGTGACGAGCTACGACGAAATGGCGACGTTGCCGAGATTCTCCGGCGGACGGCGTTTAATCGATCCAGCAAGGCCGGCTCGTCTAGCTCGGATCTTCCCGAGACAATCCTCCAGCACGAGTAAGCTTCATAGAGTTTTTGTGTTCTTTGAGAGCTCTAAAGTTTCGTTTTTCTTCGGCACAGTCGTGTGGTTTGGCTGGGCGACTTGAACTATCGTCTTGCGCTCAGTGATTCCGAGACGCGAGCTTTGGTTGCGAGAGGTGACTGGCAAAGATTGCTCGCTAGAGACCAGGTAACGTTTTCTGTCATCTTTTCTCTTTCTTTCTTCTTTCTCCTTGCGAGTGTTCTCTGCTGATTGAGTGTTCTTCCATCTTTTCCAGCTTAAGATGGAGCAAACTGCCGGTCGTGTCTTCGATGGCTGGCAAGAAGGAGGGATCTACTTTGCTCCCACTTACAAGTACGTGAAGAACACGGACTGCTACTTTGGAGTCAACTCTAAACCCGGAGAGAAGCGTCGAACACCATCCTGGTCAGTGTGATCTTGGTAGATGATTCAAGCTTTTGGATCTAAGTTGTGGAACGCACAGGTGTGACAGGATACTGTATCGCGGCCGCGGCCTCAAGCAAATTAGCTACGCTCGAGCCGAGCACCAGTTCTCAGATCACAGGCCTGTCAAGTCCGCGTTCCTGGCCGAGGTGGAAGTCTTCAGCAATCGCAAGATGAAAACGGTGGCTAGGGTCACCAAATCCTCGCAGCTCAAATCCTGCAACGAAGAGGTATGGAAATGAAAACCATTTCATTTCATTCTTTTTTCCTTTTTTTCTTGGTATCTGTTTAAAAATCCAATCAAAGATTGTCACCTTGGTCTAGTTCGGACGTTCAGCAGCCTTAGGATTTGGATCCCAACGCTACGGCCTCGAAAAGTCTCGTAAACAACGCGAACAAATATCATTTTGCCTCGAAGTCTCGTGAAGAAAAAATCTATTAAAACTTTCTTTTTGTACATCGATATGGAGTTAAAAGTGTATGAAAAATGTAAAGCTTTCTCTTGAGACAAAAATCTTCGATATAAATTAATGTAAAGCTGCATATAGTTTTTGTTTTTGTGACATCATGGGAATCAAAGATCACGATGGATATATAATCGCAATCACAATCTCAGTAGCTGACTTTAAAAAATACACGAGAAAGATGAATCATATTTTTATTGTTCTTGGAAGAACCAGGCTTAACTTTGTCAAATCTTTGACTGCTTTTCGCTAAAATCGCGATGGAAGTACACACCCACGAGGCGACGAAAGTGGCCACTGACTTTGGAGCAGCTCCAAAGTTCGCCATCAAAATCTCGGTAGCTTACCTTCTTCTCGAAAGAATAAAGCTTGTGATCCCTGTTGATCCGGACTATGGGAACCACAAGGAAACATCGCAAGCATACCAACCAAGCCAAGCATAGCTAGAAAACCATTAATCTATCCAACCTTTATAATAAGAATCACACTACCTCTATCATTGAGGGAGCTTGCCGTGGAGGTATTGAAGCAACTCTTTTGTTCCGCGCTCGAGGATGCCTCGCCGAATGCTGCAAGGAATCCAAGATCACTAAAAAGCCTCTGTATCGCGAGAGCTACCTTCTCAATGGATTCCCGTCCACTTTAAGCTTGCGTAATGTGGGTTCCAGATATCCCTGATGACCCGGACAATGAGAAGCAAAGAAAAAGAGAACTTTGCGGGAAAAGCATACCAGTTGAGGAGGAAGAGTAGACAGGTTGTTGTCCGTCAAGTCCAGTTCTTCGAGCGTACTCATCTCACCGAATTCCTGCATCAAGCAATAGCACGCAAAACATAAAAGAACTTAAGAGACTTGCCTGAGGTAGCACGCTAATATTGTTCTGGCTCAAGTCCAAAATTCGTAAGCTAGACATCCGGGGCAAATCCCAAGGGATGGCTGCCATTTGAGTTCTCCTGTGCAGACGCCAAAGTTAGTTTTAGAGAGATTCTAAGAGCATGTATACGTTTACTCACATCAGTCGCAGTTCTTGGAGGCCAGTCATTAGAGACAAGCACGGAGGTGGTGGAAGCTGTGCAACCACGCCACTTAAATCCAGGAGTTGTAGATTGGACACGGCCGAGAATGCACCTGGTGGAAGCTAAACACACGCAGGTTAATACAGAAAGTTGGAGCTTGTTTGAAAACCCCGTACTGCAACTATAGGATTTCGAGCAAGATTTAGATGCTTGAGGTTTGGTAGAGAGGCGAAAACGCTTCCTGGCCACTCTTGGATCTTATTGTCTGCAAGAATGAGAGCCTGTGACGCGATAACTTGGTGAGACAAGAAACTGCTTTCTCGAAATGCTGATTACCTCCATCGAAGTGCACATCGACATTTCTGGCGGCAGCTCTTGGATGCAGTTCTTAGCAAGATCAAGTTGGACAAGGTCGCATGACTCCCACACTGCAGGAGGAACATGGTCCAAATTTTTGTCGGAAAGAGACAAGGCCTGAAATAAAGTTCAGTCTGTTGTCTTTGAAAGTATTAATTGGAAAGAGTTTGGTACCACACTTTTGAAGAAACTGCCGCTCGTGCTGCTTGGACAACCTGCTCCTGGATGTTCATGCCAAATATATTGCCTGACGAGGCAGCTTCTGGTTTTGATTCTGCAAATCAAAAGCTAGAGTTGAAAAGTCTTGTTCCAGCCTCATAAATTACCATCTTCAGCTGTGGAACGATCACGCAAGTACTTAAGTAGAGCAGGAGTACTTCCAGTAACCAAGGAACTGCACTCATTAAAAAGAAAGTGCAATCAGTACTTTGGCATAGGTCAAAGATCTTACGTTCTTAACGTTCGCAAGGGATTTCCTGTAAGCACAAGCTTTCTCAACGATCCCATGAAGCCTGTAGGAACCGAAGTGTCAAAAACGCAATCAGGAACTTCAGCTTTTACTAACCGAGCTCAGGAGGCAATCCGCTTAGATTGTTGTTAGAAAGGTCGAGCACAGAAAGCCGCATGGAACAAGCAGAAACTGGGAACTCAGAGAGCTGAGAGACAATGTTTAGTGGAAACATCACACAAGGAGCCAGGACTGGAAACATCACCTGATTACCATGCAGATCAAATGTGAGCAATGACTGGAGGTTCCCAATCTCGTTTGGAAGAGAAGAAAGCAAGTTATCTCTGAACAACAATAAAATGTATATATACTTTTTAGACACATGTAAAGAAAGGTACATACCCAAAATACGCCTCCACCAGCATACTGCAATTTACCAAAGAAGATGGTATCGACTTGATCTCTATGCGGAATTTTGTCAGTAAGCTAATCACATTTGAAAATAGAGCACATACTATTCTGATGTAAGTCGAGACGTAGAAGTCGAGTGAGATTACCAATTTCTTCTGGTAGCTCAGTTATAGCATTCTTTCCTGCAGTTTATTTCCACTAGAAATAAGATGATGCCGAAACGGGCGGAAGAATGTACCTGCATTAAGCTCAGTCAGATTACCGAGCGAGTGGAACAAGCTTGAAGGAAAACCGGTGATTTTGTTTCCCTACAAGCAAGTCACAAAAGTGGGATCACCGGATTCAACGAGAAAGTAGAAAAGTAAGAAAAAATCACTTTTACCTCGATACTGAGGCTAATCAGTCGAGAACAGGAAGCCAGTTGATCTGGCAGAAATGTGAGGCCATTGTTGGACAACTGGAAACAAACACTCGCGCTAGAAAAAAGCACAAAATTTTCACATCTTCACCTTTAGCTCTGCAAGATCAACACACAGTCCAATCGTGGAAGGAAGCTCCTTAATTTGGTTGTTGGACGCGAGAAACCTGCCAAAAAACAAATAAAATAAGGACCCACACGATTCGTGTCAATCGTGTTCGTATTTCTGTAGCTTACTTCACGAGAGATGCTAGATTTCCAATCTCCACCGGAAGTTCCAAAATCGCATTGTGAGAAACATCGAGCGTCTTCAATGAAGTCAGCCTGAGAAGAAAGAATCAGCAGACGAGAAAAGTCAAGCCACTAAAACTCTTACATGCCAATGCTTTCAGGAAGAGATTCCAGTTCATTGTAGCTGATGTTGAGGACCACGACAGAGACGAGATTCCCGAGCTCCTGGGAAAGAAGCTTGATCTTGTTGTGAGCAAGAACAAGCCTGTGAAGATCTACAAGCTTGAGAAGACAAACCAGCAAAACCGTTTATAAAAAGTCCAATGCGGAACCATACCTCCCACCACTTTTCATCCTGCCCAACACACTCCAGGAGCTTGTAGACTTGCGGAGGCACTTCCCTGGAATCACCCACATTACCAGTTAGTGTCGCAAGTAAAGGATTGAATGCGCGTACCTCAGATTCCTGTTGGAGAGGTCGAGAGAACCGGATGCTCGAGCCATCTTGAGAAGGCGTTCCATTCTCTCCTCACCTCTCTACCTAGGGCTCACACTCAATTTCTTCTTCTTGGCTGTTCCAAGCACTTCCCATCCAGTTTATAAGACATGGATGGGTACAGGCTGTTTGGTTACTTGTTTTCTTCAAAATCCAACCAGTCCAAGTTGGCGATTTGCTTCGTCTCCACTTCCCGTGCTTGTTTCAGCGTCTCTTCGTATGAGCCGGTCTTGGACCTCCGGACATCGTCTACAAATTTCGATTTGTCCCTCCTCCAGTCTTTGAAAGCGTCGTCAGCTTCTCTGAACACTTTCTGGAACAAGCGAGAGGAAGAATGAAGAGAGCAATAACGAGAAATGAAACATCTTACCTCCTTGTCTGCGATAATCGATCCCTTCTCGCGCTCCAAGAGTGAAGTGCTGATCAGAAGTTGTTTGAGAATATCGAACAAAAAAAGGAAAGAAAATCACACCTTAAGATGACTTTGTCCGGAACTCGAGGTCTCAGTACCACTGCCTTGATGCGATCACCTTCCGCAAAAATGTCGGCCACGCGAGCAATTCTTCGATGGGATATGTTCGATATATGGAGCAATGCGCTGAAAGAAAAAAAAAAAAAAACGATTCAAGCCGGTTCGATACATAGACAAACTACCTTAAATCTGTTTCATCAATGCTGACAACAACTCCATAAGCTTCAACCTTCTTGACAACACCTTCAACTAGTGAGTCCGGGGGTGCAAGCTGTTGTACCTGAAAAAATAGCAGAACAGTACCCAGTAAGTGGACTCTATTCAGAGAAACTGGAGTACCCACCCATGCTGCGCGTTCGTTCACAAGTATTCTCGCTTTTGCTTCCTCTACCTCAATAATCATCACAAGCAAAGTTCTTCCCACCTATACGCAACAGAAAGCACTTCAGTTTCTTACGTGAAGTGAAACTGTATCCAGCTTACATAGTCTTTCAGCTGTGTGATATCCCGAGGCGAGTTCTGGATCATATCTTTTGGAAGGAAAGCTGTCAACCCCTGCAATAGTTTGGTCGGCCACCAAAATCGGGTAAATGCTCCAAACAAAGTACCTCAATCCGACAGATCAGCCCACCGAGATTGTACGATTCAATCCGGACTTCTATACTTTCTTCAGCGCTGTGAATCTGACTAAAAGAAAGCAGGAAATGAAATTCCACCATGATCAAAATATGAACTGCTAGAATAAAGAGAAGAATACTCACATCTCTCACTCGTTGCCATGCGATCGGTCGAGAAAAGTTCCGCATAGATAGCAAAGCTGTGCCGCTCAAAGTCTTCCCGATTATCAAAAGCTGCACAATCGTCCCAGGCTCCACCATGAGATCGCCACCAGCGGAAGCATCCAATGCCTCGTCATCTTTCACGAGACAAGCCCGACCACTTGTTGGTGGAACAAATCTCTCCGAATAACCATCAGAATTATCGTCGTCAATCCTCCACATTCGATCTTCCAGCTTGAACCTCTCGAAAGGAACAAGATCCCGCGCAAACATCATTCCCAGCGATTGAGCTCCTATGTCCACTTCCAATTTGCTGCTGTTCCCGGACACTACCATCCCCACAACAACATCCCCGAGCTTTGGCTCGTAGTAATCCACCGAAATATCCTCCACAGGAGCTGGAATCGGCGCCTTCTCCTCGAAATCTTCCTTCTCCTCGCCAGCGCTGCTGTTCTTGCCTACTGGAGGAACCGGTACCTTAATCTCTGCTCGAATCGGCTTCTGTGGACTCGGAATCGATCTGACACTGCTTTCGCCATGCATTGCCCGGGCGCTCATCCTAGAACTCCTTGACGGCGCGCAAAACCCTGGGCGCCATACCGCTTGCTTCGCCAAAACCTCCATCGCTTCCAAAAACCCTAGGGAAAGAGGAGGGAGAATCTTTTATTTATTTGTTTTAAAACTCACAAGAATGAAGGAAGAGAGTCTTGTTGGATGAATCATCCAGCCAAGTTTAAAGTGAACGATACATATGGATGAGCTTCCACTTCTCCTCCCACGATTCCAGCCACGCCACCACCATCTTCGTCAGATTTCCAAAAGCCACTGCGCGATCAAACACGCTCGAATGTCACAAACCAAGAAAAAAATCCATTTTTTTCTTTACCTGTTGGGAGCATTACACAGTCCTTCGAGCATTGATCGGACTTTCTTCTCGTTTCTCTGGCTAGGAGCCATCACTGCGGCCTGTGAATCGAGAAAAAATGGTTTTTTGTATAGACAAATCTTTGGTGGTATGGATGGATCTTACCAGGAACTTTGGAGGAAGGCCGTATCTCAAAATACTCTCGGCAAAGATCCGGATGGCACATATGTGCATCCACGCACTGAAAACCTGCGACGAGGGATGAAAATTGTTTTTCAGATCACGAAAGATAAAAAGAGAAAATGATCACACACCTCTCCGTAACTAGCACAGCACCACTGTTGGAGGGAGCTTCGTAGGCTGTCGAGTTCGCGGCTCAGCTTATCTTGTTCTTGCCTTCTTTGTTGTTGTCCCTCTGGATCAAACTCGATATCTCTAACCTGATAGAATCTAAAGGCCGTCAGTGAAGAAGAAATGGACTTTTTACCTGGAAGCCTCTCTCTCGTGCAGCTGATTTGAAGTTGTCTGCTACCTTGCGAAAGAGGATCACGGTGTACAGAGCATACTCGTTGTCCTCGTGTAGCTTCGCAGATGATCGAGGAACCTGAAACGTTTTGATCAAAATCTTGTCGGTTAGAGCGCGCTGTCTTACCACAAAGTCAGTGAGACTTTCGTAGCTCTTTAGCCATTCGTTTTGCGAAAACTTTGAGACTACCACCACTAAAGTCACCAGGTGCTCCGTGCTGATAACGTCGGACGGCTTCACCAGGTTGGAGATGTCACGCGCGGCCATGCTACAAAGAACCAAAAACTCAGTTTTTCCAGCACGAATGACCGCGACAGACCTTCCAGTTTGCCTGCGATTGATAGCACTGAGTTGTGTTTTCACATTCGTGTACTCTGCTACTCTAATCTGCAAGAAAATTCACAACACCAACTTGAGCAAATCACACACAAAAAAAAACTCACTTTTAAGTCGTCTTCGTGCTTGGAAACGTTGTCTTGGATCATATCGGCAGTCTCTCTGAGAGGATTCATGAGTGGATACTTCGCCTCGTCCCACGTAAATCTGTCAGTAGTCACGACAAACGCTTTAGAATTCCGAGCACTAGGATGAGAAAGAAGAAAAACAAATCGTTCTCTCTACTTGGTAATGTAAGTGTCAACTGGTACCCCATCGACTGTAAGAGCGCTCGCTTCCACTCCAGCGTGATGATCCAAATCCTCGATCTGGCGACGAATCTTGTGTGTCACTCCCTCCACCACGCCATTGATCTACATTTTTTTTTCCCAGTAGCCCTTGAGAATGAATCCATCGAAATAATTGAGCTATGAGTACCTTGACAAGATCATCGCTGAGAACCATGAGCGCATCGAGCGTCCCGATCCGCAATTCAGGGATATTGAACTGCGAGGAATGGGAGTGAGGAAGAAGGAAGAAGAGATTTGGGGAAATACCTTGTAAGTCGGTGTGTCGAAGGCGACTCTGGAGATCCCTTGCTGCAATGCTGCCCATGTCGCAGCTGCCGATTCGAGCACCGGGAGCGAGACGAGGCAGTAGCGCGTCACGGCCAATGCCATCGAGCGATCGATGCCGCGCGAGAGCGAAAGAGATCCCAAAAACTTTAGAACCCTAATTAGGGTTTTGTGGCTTGTGTGCGTCTGATGCGTTGCGTTGATGCGATGTCGGCCGTGTCGGCCATGGCGATGGATCATCGTGTGATCGCTCCAGCCCCTGGATCCCCAGCATTTCAATGCAAGCTGCGAAAATCTCCATCTCCATCGCCAGCGCCATGGAAATGCAGGGTTTTGGCTGCCTCCTCGAGCGAGCGCCAGTTTTTTCAGAGAAAGCGGCCGATCTACGTCCCTAGCAGGATCGATGATCCCAGCTACGTCCGGATCTTCGATACGACGCTCAGGGACGGCGAGCAATCCCCCGGCGCGACGCTGACGAGCAAGGAGAAGCTCGACATTGCGCGGCAGCTTGCCAAGCTGGGCGTGGACATCATCGAGGCGGGATTCCCAATCGCGTCGCCCGACGATCTCCTGGCGGTCAAGGGGATCGCGCTCGACGTTGGCAACAGGGTGGACGATGACGGGTATGTTCCAGTGATTTGTGGGCTCTCTCGATGCAACAAGGCGGACATAGCTGCCGCCTGGGAGGCTGTGAGCCATGCTCTCCGGCCTCGAATCCACACCTTCATCGCGACTAGCGAGATCCACATGAAGCACAAGCTTCGCAAATCACCGGACGAGGTCGTCCAAATCGCCACTGACATGGTTGGATACGCCAAGAGCCTTGGCTGCCAGGACATCGAGTTTAGTCCCGAGGATGCTGGAAGGTATGCATGGAGATTTTTTTTCCTTGCTTGTTCTTGATCTTCTGACACGAAAAAACAAATTTTGTTTGTTTTTCTAGGTCCGATCCCGAGTTTTTGTATAGAATTCTCGCGGAAGTTATCAAGGCTGGAGCCACCACTCTCAACATTCCGGATACTGTTGGCTACACGCTACCTTCGGAGTTTGGAAGGTTGATAGCGATGATCAAGGAAAACACGCCGGGAAGCCAGAGTGTTGTCATTTCTACCCACTGTCAAAACGATCTTGGACTCGCGACTGCCAACACTCTTGCTGTAAGTGTTCCTCATAAGAAGAAACTTTTCTTGCTTTCGTAGTTTTTTTGTTTCTCGCAGCTTGAGATTCTCGGGTCTGATCTTTCGAGCAGGGTGCTTATGCAGGTGCCAGGCAATTGGAAGTAACAATCAACGGTATTGGAGAGAGAGCAGGCAACGCGTCGCTTGAAGAGGTTTGCCATCTTAAAGTCTGCCTGGGTTTACCCGTTACTCATTACTTCGTCGTAGGTAGTCATGGCTATTAGATGCCGCGGAGACGAGCAGCTCAATGGTCTCCACACGGGCATCAAACCCAAGCATATTGCTGTCACAAGTCGCATGGTGAGTTTTACTTCAGTTTCTTCTGTAACGTGGCTTTCTCTCTGGTTGCGCGTTTCAGGTGTCTGACTATACAGGAATGACCGTTCAACCTCACAAGGCCATTGTTGGGGCCAACGCATTTGCTCACGAAAGCGGAATCCACCAGGTTAAATCTACATACTGTAATGGAAGAGGTCTCACGTAATTGTCTCTTGGCAGGATGGGATGCTAAAGTTTAAAGGAACTTATGAGATCATGTGTCCGGAAGACATTGGACTTGTTCGTGCTGATGAAGCCGGTATCGTCCTTGGAAAGCACAGGTAACAACTATGGTTTTTGCTGCTTGTTTGTCCTGACGGCGAGCTTTTTATCTTTAGTGGTCGGCATGCGTTAAAAACTCGGTTGTCCCAGGTATGACTGCCCGTTTTAGCATCAGTTGCCATAGTCTAATTCTACGAGCTGATAGCTGGGATACGAGCTAGAATCCAAGCAGCTGGATGACGTTTTTAAACGTTTCAAGGCTGTGGCAGACAAAAAGAAGGTAATGTTGTACTTTGCGATGTTTTCCGGCTTCTAAGTGCTGTGCTGTGCTTTTAGTCCTTATCGGATGTTGACCTGGAAGCTTTGTTATCGGACGAAGTTTTTCAACCAGAAGTTGTGTGGGCTCTTTTGGACCTCCAGGTTTGCTGCTTTTGCTGTTGCTTCGGCTCACTGTTTGAATACCTTTCTTGAAACAACAGGTCGTGTGTGGAACCCTGGGATTATCAACAGCGACCGTGAAGTTATCTGGTCCAGATAACATTCAACGTGTTGGTACGTCCATTGGAACGGGGCCTGTGGATGCAGCATACAAGGCAGTTGATTCAATCGTTCAGGTAATCAAATTTCCTTGAGGAAACTTTTGCATTGCACTGAACAATCTTACAGATTCCAGTAACTCTTTTGGAGTATTCCATGAACGCTGTTACTGAAGGAATCGATGCAATCGCCAACACAAGAGTCGTGATACGTGCCGAGAACTCGACTCCAGTAACGCACGCCCAAAGCACAGAGCCTGTTCAGAGGTCTTTCAGGTGAGAATCCATGAAGTTGCTACATCTTCATTCTTACGATTCAACCTTCTGCCTGCTCAGTGGATCCGGTGCATCCGAAGACGTGACAGTCTCAAGCGTCCGAGCTTACGTGAGTGCTCTTAACAAAGTGATTGGATTTTCCAAAGCAGTCCCTAGTTCCGAGTCGTCGGTTTCAGCTACTCAGGCTACCACAGTTGCGACAAAGTAGAGATAACTTATCCCAACGGTAGCTGTACAGTTTTGCAAGATTTAATCCATGGATATAGCTATGGAGCTAGCGTCTGGCTATGTCGCCTTGAGCAGGAGTGCCGGGTTTGTCACTAGCAGCAGCTCTTGCCACTTTCCGGCACTGGTCAGCAGCAGCTTCTCGGGGATTTTCAGCCACAGCTCCAGCTCGAGTAGCGTTCGCTGTAGGAGGAATGTGGTGGAAATTCTAGAGCAGAGGGGACTTGTCGAGTCGATTGCTGGCGAGAGCTTGAAGAAGGCATGCGACGAGAAACCCATCAAGGTGTACTGCGGCTTCGACCCCACAGCGGAGAGCTTGCACCTGGGAAACTTGCTGGGAATTGTGGTACTCGAGTGGTTCCAGCGGTGTGGTCACGAGACCGTGGCTCTTTTAGGTGGTGCGACTGGAAGAATAGGCGACCCATCGGGAAAGAGTGCTGAGAGACCTGTCATGGATGAAGCTACGATCGAGAAGAACACGCAGGGAATCCAAGCTCTTCTCACGGAGATCTTGCAGCAAAAGGCTGTTGTGCTCAACAATTACGACTGGTGGAAGGAGTTTAGCTTGCTCGAGTTCTTGCGGGATGTTGGAAAGTTTGCTCGGGTTGGAACGATGGTTGCAAAGGAGAGTGTGAAGAGAAGGCTGGCCTCGGAAGAAGGTATCAGCTTCACGGAGTTTACGTATCAGCTACTGCAAGGCTACGACTTCGTTCATCTCTACAAAAGCAATGGCGTTTCGGTCCAGATCGGTGGCAGCGATCAGTGGGGGAATATAACTGCTGGAATCGACTTGGTACGCAAGCTCTTGCAACGAGACGATGCCTACGGCCTCACTTTTCCACTTCTCGTCAAGAGCGATGGAACCAAGTTCGGAAAATCGGAAGGTGGCGCGGTGTGGCTCTCGTCGAAGTTCCTATCGCCGTATCACTTCTACCAGCACCTCTTTGCGACACCCGACTCGGACGTGATCAAGATGCTGAGAATGCTCACGTTTGTGGAGCTGGAGGAGATCGAGGCGCTGGAGAAATCCATGTCCGAGCCGGGGTACGTCGCCAACACTGCTCAGAGAAGGCTGGCGGAAGAAGTGACGAGGTTCGTGCATGGAGAAGATGGCTTGGAGGAGGCTCTGAAAGTCACACAGGCACTGTCTCCTGGAAGCACCACGACGCTGGACTGGACAGCGATCGAGGCCATCTCCAGAGACGTACCGTCGTGCACGCTCGACTCGTCCGTCGTCGTCGGCCCCGTGGTGGATCTGTGCGTCAGCTGCGGCCTCGCTCCGAGCAAAGCTGTTGCTCGTCGCCTCATCAAACAAGGTGGCATCTACATGAACAACGCGAAGGTGGACGACGAGAGATTGCTCGTGGCGGAGTCGGATATCATCGATGGCAAGATGCTGCTACTTTCGGCAGGAAAGAAGAACAAGATGGTCGTCCGGATTGGTTAAGATCCTCGCGAAGTCAGTCACAAGAACGAGATGGTTGTCTAGATTTTTCAAGCTCCTCGTAGTCGGCGGTCGTCTCGATCGGTTAAGTTCTTCGTGAGGCCAGTCACGGGAGAGCGAGCTTGTCGGGATCCTGTTACAGTCGATGGTCGACCAAGTTTCTCGCTAAGGTCAGTACTTTGAGATGGTGTCTAAGCTCCCCGCTCGCGTAATCGGCCACAGGGAAAGGACGGACGAAGAACAAGATGGTGGTTAAGTTCTTTGCGAAGCCAGTCACGGGAGAGCGAGTTTCTGAGGATCCAGTGCAAGTGTTTGCGCAAGTTTCTCTCATAGTCGGTACTTTGAGATGGTTGACTAGATTTTTCATCTAGTCGGCCACAGGGAAAGGAAGTACGAAGAACAAGATGATCGTCTCGATCGGTTAAGTTCAGTCACGGGAGAGCGATCCCGTCAGGATCCGGTTACAGGAAAAGCAAGTTTTTGCGCAAGTTTTCTCTCAAAGTCAGTACTTCGGTGAACAGGAAACGAGGAGATTGTCCGTTCAGTCTCGAGAAGATGGTCGTTAAGTAATCATCAGGGAGGAGGAAAGTTACAAACAAGCGAACAACACGGCATCGGTTAAGCTACTCGCAAAGTCAGTCTGGATCTGGATCGCGAGAGAAGCGACACGGACTGTGGATCAGTTAAGTTATCCTCGCAGCGAAGTCATCAAGAACAGGAAGACAAGGAGGAAGAGCCAAGAACAGAGGGAAAGCAAAAACAATGCCGTGAAACTTCCACAGGTGCTAGGCCTGGATTGGGCGCTGCGTCTCGGCCACATGGTTGGCTGCCTGTCCGGAGCAAACGAGCGAGCACTACATGTGTGCCTGTGGCTGTGGTCAGAGCGCCAAGCTTATTCAGCGGAGCAAACAAAACAGCACAAGCACGCTCGCTGCTTCCTTCGTCTCCTCTCCATTTAAGTAAGCTTTTCTTTCTTCTCCACTTCGCATTCTTTTCTAGTTTCTCTAAGTGCTCGCCTTTCCAGGGGCTCGATCGAGAATGCCAAGCGTAAGGAGATCTACTACTACCACTTCGCTCTCGCACTCTCGCTCGCACAGAGTTCGTTGCTTCTGTTCGAATTTTTTCCGTTTGGAAAAATCCCAGCCGGGTGAAGTGCACCGACGAGAAAGTGCTCGCCATCGCCCAGATTTGAGCGTACGTAAAACCATCATCAACGCGGTTAAGATCGCGACTAAGACCTACAACCACGAGCGAGGAGCACACTTACATCTCCAAAAAGTAAGCTTTTAATCTTTGTTTCACGCTAGACGAGCTCCTGGCTATGGAGGATGAGAGAGAGATCTCCAAAAAGAAAGCTTTTGTTTCGATGATTCCCTCTAAACGAGCTTTTGGCTATGGAGGATGGCTTTTAGCAACAGAGAGATCTCCAAAAAGAAAGCTCTGTTTCGATGATTCCCTCTGAACGAGCTTTTGGCTATGGAGGATGAGAGAGATCTCCAAAGCTTTTCTTGGAGCTCTTGGCTATGGAGGATGGCTATGGAGATTAAATCGAGAACAATACATTATACAAACACTAAGCACAGGAAAAAGCGTTTCGTGTGTGGTTTATAACTTGACACTCTCCATTCTTCCCAAAAGTTGGCGGGACGATCTTGGCGATGGTGTTTTTTTTTAATCTATGCCTCTCTCGATCTCGTCAAGCTCCGAAGTACCAGATCGGCTCGTCCGTGATGATCTCGTGCGAAGCTCCCCGGCACAGCATTCTCGAGTTGTCCATGGCCAGATTCAAGCTCGCCGCTGGGACGTAGGCCTGCACGGCGTTGTGAAGCACCAGATTCTCTCCCAGTACGTGATGATGGTGGTGGTGGTGCGATGGCGGTGGAGGAGGAGGAGGAGCCTCGAATTGTGGCTGCTGCTGGTGGTGGTGCTGGCGATTGTGCTGCTGCTGCTGCTGCTGTTGATGGTGCTGTTGATGGTGATGGTGCTGGTGATGATTCGCAACTCCGCTAAACAACTTGTGATCCATCCGATGCTCGTGATGATGATGCTGCTGCTGCTGTAGACCGCGTCCCGGATCCAAAACCGTCACTCTACTGTGACTGTTGCTCGCGGCGGCGGCGGCGTTGTTACTGCCAAGAGCAAATCCCAGGCCGCTAAAACCATGATCCATGCCGCCGCCACCGCCACCATCGCCAAAGTGATGATCGCCGAGCTTGTGGTCGATGGCTTCCACCAGCTGCTGGAGCTGGAGCCCCGCGGTGCTGCCACCGTAAATCCCCAGTAGCAGCTCGTGAAGTGGCTGGCTGCTATTGCTGGCGGTGGTGGCTGTGCCGGTGGTGGTGATGGTGGTGGCGGGGGTGGTGGTGCCATTGCTGGACGCAAGCAGTGCTGCTTGGGCCTGTGGAGGATGCGAGAGATCCTCGGCTGACAGGATCGCGGATTGAAACAAGCCGGCTTTGTTGTCTTGCTGCTGCCCCGCGATTAAGGCGCTTGTCGTCGCCGCCGACGCCGCCGCCACCGAGGCTGGCGCTTGACTGCCAAAGCCATGGATGTGATTCTGGTGCTGACTCCCATTCCCGGCGTGGATCACACTGACACACTTCGCTTCCGGCCTGTGCGGGCAGCTGCTCTGGTGGATGTTCCTCAAGCTCCTGTCCCCAAACGCGAACTTGAGGTCGTGATGGCGGCAGTCCTCGTACTGGCAAAGGAACGCTCGGTTCACGTTGTCTCCTCCCAGATTACTGCTCAGACTCCCTACCAGCCTCGGGATCCTCCGCTTGTTCCAGCTCTCGTCCTGCTGATGATCCACCACCATGTGATTGTGATGCTGCTGCTGCGACATGATCTTACTCTCCTGCTGCCGCTGGTGAAGAACAACGTCCGCAAGCTCCCCACTCACCACACTCACGTTGGCCGTGGTGGCAGTGGCAGCACCGGATCCCCCACGACCACCACTCGATCCAACGAAAGCTGGCGGCCCATTGACCTCGGCTGGATCATCCTCGCACGAGACAACGTTGAGCGAGCCATCGAATCCATCCACGTCGTACTCGCTCGTACTGCTCAGCGCCAGACCGTTGCTCCCTTCACTGTTGTTGCCGCCAGTGGCGGCCTGCTGGATCTGCGAGCCGGAGATCACCATCCCGTTGCTCATCACAATCACCTGGCTATGGTGGTGGTGGTGGTTCTGCTGCTGCTGCTGCTGCCCGATCAAATTCCCCGAGCACTGCCTCGCCAGCGCCTCCTCCTGGTTGAGCACCGAGATCCACGTCGCGCTCTCCTTGGCAGTCATCTTGTCTTGCAAGCACTTGGACTGCCTCACGAGCTTCCTGATCTTCCCGATATCCGGGGACATGTGTCGGATCACCGCAGTGAGAACTCCAACCTTCCACACCTTCTTGAGATCATGGGGCTTCTTATACGGCGGCGGCCCCTGCCCCTTTGGAAGCCCAAGCTCGGGCCACCACTCCTCGTCGCCGCTCGGCCACCACGGCGGCGCCACCCCTTTCTCCAGCGGGTACCTCCGCTGGGGTGGATCGCAGTGCTGCATTAGCGCCGAGAGAAGCGATCCGAGGGTGGTGTCCTGGAGCTCCTGGAGAGTGTGTGGCGTCGGGGCGGCGGCGGAGAGCTGGCCAGCGCCTCCGCCGGATCTGGAGCAGATGCCGTGCTCCGCCTCGTACTTGGCGATGGCGGCGGGGCCGTTCCGATCGAAGCGGACCTTCTCCTTCCACCACGCGCGGATGTTGTCGCTGGCGCCGCTCACTGGCTTACCCTTCTCGGGGATGATGCCATAGACGAATCCTTGGGCTTTGCAGACCTCCATCATCTTGAGCATGTACTTGAGGATCCCGTCCTGGGCTCGCGACATCTTCTTCCGCCGGGCTTGCTCCTGGGATTGCTTGTGCTTGGGGAGATTGCCCAGATTCTGGTGCTGCGCTGCTGGGCCGTCGTGATGCTGCTGCTGCTGCTGCTGCTGCTGCCCATGGCTGCTGTGATTCGAGTGATTCGAGGAGAATGCGTTGTTGACCCTGGCCTTTTGCTTGTCCTTGATCCGCTTGAGCCGCAGCCGATCGTTCCAAATCCTCTTCTCCAGCTCGTCCACGTCCATGTCGTCGTCGCTGAAATCCTCGTGATCCTGGACGACCGTCTCGCCCAGGCCTCCATCGTTGTCTCCCACAAGATCCACGTCCAGGCCATAGCAGAGATCCGGGTCGCCGCCGTGGAGCTCCATCTTGCGGATCGATCGGAGTGGAAATATTTCGAGCAAGCGCTTCCGAGAGGAGGGAATATTTCGGAGCGATTACCTCCAATTCGCCATGGAAAGCCGAGGATCGAATGGGAAAAGCGAGGAAGATCACGGGAAGCAGAGAGAAAGAAGGAAAAAGCTCGATTCAGCGCGAGCCCCTTGTGTGATTACCTAGCTCCATCGATGCCCCGTCGACGCGCGCTGCGCTCGCCGATCGCGCCCGTGACACAGTGGCGCAGCGCCTTCAAATTCGACACATTGCCCGGGCAAGCGTCACAATCCCAATGCCGCCACCGCTGCGAGGCGCTGCCAACACGATCAACGAGAATCGATGCCCTAGCGCATCAAGATCCCCGCTTTGCTCGGCGAGAGAGAGAAGAGCAAAGGCGCAGCGCCCCTCGCCATAGCCAACTACTAGCTAATAGCTATCCATCCAAATGCCGTACAATTCCCCCCAGGTCGGGTTATGACATGGAAGTCCACTGGCTTTTTGACACGTGGCACAGCTACATCTGGATATACAATCCAGCCACCGTGGACGCCCTTTTCAGCCCTTCGGGCTTACGGCCAATTTAGCTATCTGCCTCAAATTTAGCTAACCGGTTTGTTGCCAGATTTAGCAGCTCCCCGAATTTAAATCACTTTTGTCCAAGCTGCCAGTTTGTCGGAATCCAGTTTGGGTCATCAAATGGACCACTGGGGGACGCCGGGCTCGAACCCGGACCAGCGGATGCCGCGCCGAGCCGGACTCGAGCCACGGACCGGCGGTCTCGTCGCCGGACTCGAACCCGCCACCGTACGCTCTACGCCTTCACCGCTACCATACGCCTCTCTCTAGTTTATTATACGCCTCCAATCCTTGGTAGTGCTTCCTCATGATCACCTCTACGTGACAACCAACCCCGCGTAGAGTACGTGGGGTACGACGTTTGAAACTCCATTCATTGGGCTTTGTTAAAGAGAATAAAAGAGAGAACGCCACTGTAGCTAAACCTAGAAATCAAAAACTAAGGGGATGACAATAGTTCTTCTGTTTTACATCGTGTCATTATTGGTTTGACTCTATTGCAACACCTTTTACTCGGGCGGTGCCCTAACCCTCGCGAATAATAAAATATTCACTGCCGGAGAATATTCCGGAATCGGCCAGTGGTCCACATGTGACAGGAGGTTTTGGCCCCACCCCCCCCCCCAAAATGCTTATTTTTATTGTTGGCTGGGAGTCCATGTTCCCTCTTTAGCTCCCCATGTGTGGCCTTTGTTTTTGTTGCCAGCCAAAGAAACACACAGAAAGTTTGAAGGAGAGAGAGAGAGCGCAAAAATCTGAGAGGAGAGAAAGAAATGGCACTGGCTTTGATTGACTTTGCCACGCTCCACTTCTTTGATCCCTCCATCTCCATCTCGTCCTTTTTCTTTTTCTACTCGGACTCGGACGATTCGATCCATGTCATGTTTTGCTCGAAGTCGATGGATCACTGCCCGATCACTCCACCACTTCTTGTCGACTGGAAAAGTCTTTAAATTCCTCTCGCTGACACGGCATTAGCCTGAGATCAAGGCCGCGGATCATCCAGCAAAGTCTAAGCTTTTTGCCAAGGATGTGACGAGCTAACGTGTTGTCCAGAGCGCTTACAGGTTCCATTGTTTTTTCCATGACAATTCTTTTTCCTCCGGCGACCGGCACGAAAGTCGTCCGAAGCAACCCAAACTGGAAACAAGATACATGCCCAGTTTCTCGGACAGATTTCCTCAAGCCCGGCAGCACACGGAAGACGAAGAAATTCGTTAAAAAATCCACGAGCAAGCAGCAAGAGAGAGAGAGAGAGAGAGAGAGACATAAAGAACTTTGCCAAGCCCAAAGTCGTTGATGTTAAGCTAGGCCGTGCTTGAAGCGCGTGATGATGATCATGAAAGTTCCTGTCGAGATGCTCGGTGGATTCTCCGTGTCTCCAGCTAGAGACTTATCGATCAATCCACAGTGTGCGGCAGCCGTCGTTTCGCTCGATCGCTCCCTCGTTTGCAAAAGCTCGGACTTGACGATCCTTCTCTTTCTGCCATGGATTCCTCCATGAAGAGACCACCGAACCAAGTTGCGAGAGTGAGGTTAAGCTGTAGTGATCTTACGGACATCCTCTTTTTGGATTGATTCCTTTTTTACTCCGTGTATCGTATCGACACTGTTGTAGAAGAAACAAACGAGTTTTGGAGGTAGCAACTTCCCTTCCATTTGATTGATACATGAAGAACAAGACATCGCTTGCAAGTGGAAGATCACACGGGAGATGTTTGGAGTCAAACTGGAACTTTCGTGATTGTTACGAGCACCTCCCCTGAATCCAGCACCACACTATCTATCTGGTAATGTTTCAAAACGAGTAAACTAATCAGTGTTTGTTGGGAATGAATGTTTGTGCTGCTTGGCCACTTGCACTGCGGCGGCAGCAGAGGAGGATGTTTTGCGGCAACTATACCTGACTAAATCGAAATACTTTAATTGCAATTTGCAAGATCACAAGTACTAGTCCTGAAGAAAAACAGCAAGATGTGCTTATAATCAAGGCATTCTTGCAACGCAAGTGGAAATTCACTATGTTTACCTGGGCTTTCTGAGGATGCTTCATCTGAATCGCATAGTGTCACCCTGCCATATGAAAAAGACAAGAGAAAAATTCTTACTCACTAGAGTTTGGCAATTTTACTCTAGCTACTACAATTTTTCCATTGTTGATACTCACTGTAGCTTCATTTAACTCCACACTTTTTTATTTGATTAGAGATGTAAAGTTTTGTGTTATGTTCTAGAATTTTGTCTATAGTTACAAAACCACAAGCTTATCCATAAATGGATTGATATTACTATAAACAATTAAAGAGAACAACTTGAAAGACAATTAATAGGGTTCAAATATAGAGGGAAAGGGCTCATGAATAAAAATACATTTTATTTTCCAAGCATTTTTCCAATCAGTTAAAGGTCTTGGGATATTTGGGGTTAAGTGTCTTTGGGTTAGGTGACTTCCCGGGAATTTCAAATTCAAGAGTTTATAATTACTTCAATGCAAAAGTATAATTTCAACTTCTCTCTCTTCCTTTCAACTTTTTTTCTTTGCTTTTCAATATGTAGTGAGTGAAATGCTTTCACTCGTAAGTTTTTCATAGGTGAGTGAATAAAACTTGATTAACTTTTATAATCTACTTTTCCAAAGTTACATTTAAGATGGCCAAGTGAGTAGTGTGATGTGCTCTTACAACCAAGTGAATAGTTTCTTAACTTGTGCTAATCAAAGTTTGCTCACAGATATAATACAAAATAAGTGGGGATGCAATAAATTTATTCATTTCTCTTCTCTAGAAAAATCATTCTTTTACTTCTTGTTAAATATATAGTTTTTGATTGTGATGTTCTTCACTTTTTTTGAAGGGTATACTCCCTTAGCCAAAGATGCAATTGTTGATTCCATGTTATAGGTAAAAATTTGATAATTAGAATTGTTGTAGATTTCAATATTAATTTTGGGACCAACTTCTAAAGTTTTACCAAGATTATTTTAAATTAATAAGTTCAAAACTTTTTCTTGACAATCATGAGAAGTCAACACTTCAAATTGGAAATATCACCAAGGTTAACTTTAACCATATAATATCCAATCTCATTACAACCAAAATGTGGCTTAGATTATTCAATGGCAATCCAAACACTTAACCATATTCATCACTTGGAAATGCAATGATAATTATTAACAGTTTGCTTTAGATATTGCTTTCCAAGGAATTGTTCTCCTAAAAAACAATGGCTTACTACTTTTATTCACAATCTTGAAAATTGTGGCTCGTATAGGAAACTATATAAATACAACATACATGATACTTGGAAATTACAAATGTGAAAGATAAGTTTTTTCTCAAAACTCTTTAGATATTATTTATGGTTTTCTTGGAGAAATGTCATACAAGTATGTATCACCTTTGCAAAACATGCAAATCTACAATAATAACATTCTCTATTTATAGTACTTATTTCGAGAATGTAGTCTCAACTCATTTCCAACATTTCAAATGCAACCACTTATCCTATTATTCTTGTGATCACTACTTTTTGTTGATATCTTGGCTTTCAAGGACAATCTATGAATCTCAAGTGTTATTTGGTTTGGATATTTTCGTTAGTCCAAAAGTGCTACTCTCACTCTTATTACTTTTGGAGCATAAAATCCAAGTATTCCTTCTCTTGCTTTTTTTTCTTTGTAATACAAACATTGAATCTAAAATTAAGTGGTCACTTGATAAATACTTAGTACCACAAGGCATTCATAAATGTTTCCATATTGGATATGAAAATGAAATACAATCCATTATTGATATTTAAGGAGAAGCTATGAATTTTACACAAGGTTACTAACAACTTTGGTGATATGGTAAGCAACCTCTTGCAAGTGAGATTTTTAGAGTGTAATTTTTGTAAATGATACATAGATGAAAATAATTATAAGAAAAGTTACAATTTTTTGATATCCCTGGCAGCGGTCAGGTGGATTCGTTTCGTGTTTGGATTGTTTTACTCAACTTACTTGTACAAGCACCAACAAAGCTCTCCTTCAAAAGCAAAAAAGAGAGAACTTTTGAGATTGTCCAACTGTAAAGAGTAACAAAGATTAATCCAATCACTTACAAAATGAACTATAAATTTATAATAACATTTTGCCCAATCTCGACAAAACCATTAATAAATCAAAGCTTTAGCCAAATGTTCATCTTTGCTTGATAATCTAGCTCCACTCAACCAATATATAAAGCCCTAAGTTGGATAATGTATTTTTTATCAAACTGGTCCTCTTTAACAAGTTCCATATATAAATAATATAGTGATTTACCCTTTCTTTTTTTGTAAGTTATTGTCTAAAAAGAGTTTATTTTAAATTCACTTAAATCTTTCTCTTGAGAAATTACTTAGCTTGGCATAAAATCTTAGCAACCCAATACTAAATACTAGTCCAAAAATTTGAGAAAAACATATAAACCAGTATAGTAATGATAATTTGAAGCTTTTTCTTGTCAATTTACAAGGTATAATAAATGATTGAGATGTTGGTTCTCTAAACAAAGATGAGATAAAAATTGGGAGTGATCTTAGGCAAACATCTCTAAGCCAAACTTCTTCATTTGGCTCATAAACTTGGTTGAGTTTGCAAAGGTTTCGATAAAGTTTATTTTTGAATTTTTACATGTCATAAATGCTTATCAAGGCAATGTAAATAGGAGTATACTATAATTATGGCTTGTCATTTTTGTTATGGTGGTGGTGATTGCAACTATCACCATGCTTTCGACATCTTTATAAATGATTAATTTTTTTTTACTTTAGGATCATCTAAAGGAGTCTCACTTATAATTTCTATAGGCCCTGATATTAATTTGGGTGTTTCCTAACTTTAAGATGTGTTTTTGTA